TATGTCCCTGTTGGAACTGGGAGGAAAATACAGGGAAATGTATACTGGGTTCGAAAATATAGAAGTGCCATGCATGGTTATACTCATGTTATCTCACAATCGATTCTTCACAGGAAACTACCATGTCATGCATGTTATGTAATCATGTTCTGTCCTCACAAACAAATTCTTCAAGGAAACTAACATACCATGATTGTTATATACACATGTTATGTGGGCAAATTTTTTGTGAGCATATTATTCTAGCCATTGATTGTTAAAGGGCGAATATAGGTATGTACACATGGTAAGCATTACAGGATTTCACCACTTCCAAATATAGAGTTCTCCATATGCACATTTACTTCCCTAATGTATGGTTAGATGAAACCAACAATGTGATGCATGTTTCTACATCATGAAAATGAGGACACTAACATGGCCATTGATACACACTCATATTTAGTATAGATTACTATAAAATAAGGAGAATATCAATATCTTCCTAACCGTTTGATTATTCAGGGGTACAAATTGGTTGTAATGACATGATCACAATCGCATGAATTAACGCATTCCAAATATAGCCGATTTACGACGTCTCTAATACATTGCCATAGTTCTACTCAAAGTCTTCTCAAATAGGGATATGCCAATCATCACAAAAAGTTCATACAGTGTCATGGCATCATCATTCACATCAGGTAGAAACAACTTACACGCGCCGTCCCAGCAATACGTGGTGCCATCTGCTTTGTCGATCGCGTAGATGATGCCATTGTGTTCAATAGAATCACAGAAGTGTGTATCAGCTTTGACGATGATCCACTGCGAGCTGAGTTGTCTCCACCTAAAGAAGGCATCAGCGTAAAGATAGGCGAGTCCGCGGTCGAGCAAGGCAATTAGCTTGAAGTATGCATAATCCACATGTCGTGTGGGCACTTAGCAGATTACAATCTTCTGAAAACAAGGTCCGTCCAACTGATGTGGTAATCTAGATGACTTGGACCACGATGGTAAAACTCTATATAATCCAACAGAGGAAGGATAATCTCATGGGAGGTCTGGAAGTTCACGAGCACCAACTTTTTCTCGTCTTCTCTGACAGCAGCCATCCAGTGGGAGTTCATGTCGACCCAGTACATACCTGCCAAGAAGTTTCGGGCGATGGTGATCGGATCGAAGTCGAGGGAAATGATGTATGGCGACCCACTACATACCTGCAAAGAAGTTTCGGCTAATGGAGATCAGATTGAAGTCGAGGGGCATCATGTACGCCTCCGTATCATGGTGAGCAAATCTTGCAAGACCAGATAGCAGCAAGCAGGGTATCTTGAAAACCTTAGGCCTCGCTTCGACGATGGCTGAGTGCATGTCCCTCGAGCATGCAGCCAGCCGCAGGGTGCTCAACATATCCATACACGAACAACAAAGGTCGAGGATGTCACTGGGGGGATTGCTCCAGTCGCGGCTCATATGGATGCTGCGCGGTTCGCGTTCAGCCATGGTGGAGTTTGGAAGGTGGGGTTTTGGGGGGCTTGATTTACGGGGGAGAAGTCTCTCGGTGCCGGAGCAGCTAGCAAGGGAATAGCGGTACTGGGGGAGGCGAGCGAGGGTACGCGGGGGCACAGTGAGATAATGAAGAGTGACCTTAGGATCTCCGGCGAGACGGAGATGGAGATGGAGTGGTGCTAGGGGAGAGGGAGACTAGGCGAGGCATGCTATACAACGACGGTGATAGTGACTGCACAGTGCACAAGGTGAGGCTGACTTTGGTAATCCGAACACGCCGCCTGGACTGGTGTCACCTCAGGCGTAGGGTCTTGTCAGTTCACTGTGAGGACCGGATGAATAATATTTTGACTATCAAGTGTACCACAGTTGTACTACTACTACTACTAGTAGTAGTAGGAGCATGAGTAGTACTGTATAGTGGAAATAGGTCTCCCGTGCTAGCATGCCTCTGGGTTCACTTCATCCTCCAGGTATCATCCATATTGCGAGCAGAACCAAATTCTCGTGCATGCGGAAGCGCAAAGAAGGCCTTCTCTTTTTTGAGGATAAACACATATTCCTTACCTAGAGAATGTTGTGTCTCCCACGCACATGCCAATATCCATCTGAACCAGCTACAACACATTTTTTTTATCCGTTTGCATAGGTCCCACCTGTCAGGAGGGGTGTAGAAATAAAAAGGAATCATAAAATGTCTTGCCACGGTGATTCGAAAGAGTGACCTCAACTAGCCAGAGGCACATGTAGCGCTAGAAGGATGGGCACGTATAGGGACATGTACCACTCCTTAGTCTACCCGCGTAGCCTTTTCGTTTAGTCTACCTAGCCGTCTAATCAACTGCATGCAGGCCACTTCTCCCATTTACTTCTCCATCGAGAACCGATTTTCCTCAGCTTCTTCACTACTCCTTCATCTTCATTTGCATCCAAACCACACTACATTCACATTGCTTTAACCTCTTCACATCCTCCTGGAGTAATTCCAAAGCCCCTTTAAATAATCATCTTCTTCAGTTAGACTAGCCATCTAATCCTAATTCTCCAAACCATAGCCCTTTGGTCCAGCAGTTCCAAATGGAGAAAGAGATCGAGATGCAGGTTTTTAGCGTCCAACATGTCCTCGTCGATGGCTCATTGAGCATAGTTGCCACAGTCATCGACCACCCAAGGGTTGTTCGGAAATGGATCAACAATGTATCCAACTCCCTCCAAAAGATGGAGATGAAGGTCATCGGTCTCGACGCAGAGTACACGGAGCGTGCCACTGGGAAGATCCAACACGCTGTCGTCTTTCAGCTGTGCCTCGAAGATGATGTTTTGGTGTACCACATCATACACGCACCCTCCATACCAGGTGAGCTTCACGATTTCTTGTCTCGGGAGGACATATACTTCTGTGGGGCAGCCATCACAGGGGACAAGCAGAAGTTGGAGCCGTACAACCTTGATTTGAAAAGCATAGCTGACATACAAACCAATATAAAAATTCCTGGAGAAGATTGTGATAAACCGACACCATCCCTATTCGATGTAGCAAATTTTGTGCTTGGAACAAATCTTCAAAAGGGTGATGAGACACTGGCATTAAGGTCGTCTGGATGGGAGAATTATCCCTTGACGTACGAGCAGATAAAATATGCTGCCTCAATGCCCGTGTGAGTTTCGAGATAGCTGCAAGGTCCAGAGAGCTTGCTGCGTAGCCGTCACCCACAGAAAATGAGAACAAGAACAAGAAGAAGAAGTTGCACCAGCAGCAGGGCATTGTGGATAGATGAACTATGTCCTCTCTTTTAAAAAATATTATCTCTCTGTGTATATTGATATAGATGGACTATTTCGATGGTGTGCATGTCTTTGAAACAAGTAGTAGCGTGGGTCCGCTTGACTATAAGGAACTATTTATCACCCTAGCTTTCTCTACTACTACTCCTTCTAGTGACCGGTATGCAATGCATGTGTTCATAGACATGACAACTTGTCCATGGAAGTTCAACTACGACGACCATCACGTTTCATCCACTGCCACTCGCGATCGATGTCGCTCCAACCCACGACACCACGTCCCCCGACATGCGCCTCACCCCTCTCAGCCGCACCGCCCCTCTGCCTTTGTGTGCTTGACATGTGGGCCACCTGAAATGCGACGAGCATCAAGTTTCTACCACAGCCACACGTAATTCCCACAATGCCGCTCGAACCCATGATACAACACGTCCCCCAACCTGCGGCTCACCCCTCTCGGCCTCACTGCCCCTCTGCCTTCGGGAGCATTACATGTGGACCAGCCACCTATCGGGTCCACATGTTATTGACTCAAAGGCAGGTGTAGTAAGGTGCTGAAGCTCAGTCTCGAGGGCCCCGAGAGGGAAATGTAACTCCTGCGCCAAGCCTTGTGGTGCTACCGCTGCACGAACTCGTGCCAAACTCGAGATTTGTTTCTTTACTATACATGCACACAACGATTTAATGGACATTGTAATCTCAACATGTGATGGGAGCTCTAAATTTGAATTTGAAACTTATAAAATGAAAAAAATCGAAACAAATAAACTGGGAGAGAGGGAGTATACCGTAGATGTGTCCCATATGAAAAAAGTCCCCTAGTTTGTCACCGTGAAGATGCGGTTAGAAAGGAGCACAACGTCTTCGTACTCGTACGTCAACAAATTGGCCACAGACAGCATGGTCCACCTTTTCCCGCCATGTGCAAGGTTCGTGCTATCTTCTTCAATCTCACTGTGGTTCCATTGTACCAATTCAGGCGGTGGCCCATTGCCTGGCTGATCCCAATGTTGGACAAAGGTTCTACAGGAACGGTGTCACCGTTGTAAATGTTGTGTAAATTGATGTTGCTACCCTCCCGTACATATGCAAGCCAATCTCCACTTGCACCGAGCCTAACCTGTGAAACAGTGGGCAGGGGGAGAATTAGGAAATGGACATGGAAGTAGTCTTTAGAATGCATTTACTACGTGATCAAACTCATCTAACCCGCTCATCGGACAAAATCCGAGTGCCCCTCAACGTCGGCATCTCAAGGGGCGTCAACTTGCAACTACGGCCACGCCGCGCTGGAGAGACCCCCAAGGAAACATCCTTGTGCGTTTCACGGAACATCAAGATGCATTTGTATGAGTAGTTTATCTTATGAGAGAAAAGGATGAATGAGGGAAGGCCTTATTTGCAAATGTGGAGAGGGGTGTAGGTATCTTTTTGCAAAATTGCCATAGTTTTCTTCCTATCCGTCAGATATAAATCGGACGACCTATATTGCAGGATGGCAGGCACACCATCATCACCAACTTTGTTTTTTATAAGACTAACAAGATGCCCTTCCGTTGCACGGAACATCAAGATCTTGTGGGAGAAAAGGATGAACGAAGGAAGGCCTTATCTGCAAATGTGGAGAGGAGTGCGGGTAAATTGTCATAGTTTCCTTCCTATCCGTTAGATATAGATCGGACGGCCTATATTACAGGATGGTAGGCACACCATCATCACCAAGTCTACTTTTTATAAGAGTAGACAGATTCTTTAAGTCCATGGCCAATACCCCAATTGGTCCTATACATATGACCCGCGATTAGGAAAATAATAGGAATAGCTAAATGTTGGTGCGCAATATCAGTCAGCCAGAGACCACCGGTTACTGGATCTAGTCCTCCGCGAAAAGTCAGAAATTCTGCGTATTTGGACCAATTTAAAGTGGAAAAAGGGGTTGCTCGTTCGGCAAAACTAGGATAAAGTTGAGCCAAAAGGTGCCGATTCAAGATAAATTCATGAGGAAGTGGTATCTCTTTAGGATCCACCCCAGCGTCAAGAAATTGGTTAATTGGTAAAGATACATGAATTTGGTGCCCCGCCCAAGAAAGAGAAGATAGGTCTATTTTCATTCGTGTAGAACTGCTACCTCGTTAACGAACTTACTCAAAGAGTGCTATAGAGCAGAGTCTAAGAAAGCCGTCCTGTTATTATTTTCTTAACCTCAGAAAGTCTCACGCGGGGGGCACCTCACATCGCACTAAATCACTACTATTAGGCCCTTCATATCATTCCACAATCCAAAGGAAAAAGAGTATCCTATGAAGGAAATCATATCTGATCTATCACCTTCCTCGTATCGATGCTTGCCACCACGTCACTAGGTTGTTCATAGCTCTTTGCTTAGCTTAATGGATCACCCAACTGTATTCCGGGATGTGTGCATTCCACAATCCCTTAAGGAAGAGGTTCACTATAGCCTTGCTTGTTAATGGGTTTCTGACTTCGCAGTAGAGTGCTAGACTAGGGATAAGCTGGATATTGACTTCTTTCCAAGAGCTCCATTAGCCCTGCTTAGCCATACATCGGCTCTACCATTACTATACGCATTCTACCTATGCTTTTACCGAAAGAAAGAAGAAAGGTTGGATGGTTGATCCACACAAATAAGAGATATGTAGGCCCAACCTTCAATTGCAGAGAATAGCAAGCCACCTTTGCTGAATAGATGTATAGAGGAAAAGGGTGACCCACATCGCAAGGGCTTTTTGATTGTGTGAATCAGAGCCCAAGACAAGATTAATTTATTAGGAGACAGGTATCGATGCTTGCCAGCAGGAGAAAGATCACTAGGTTCAGTCTCTGATTTGATCAATAGGGTTCCCTAGGTACATTCCATTTTCTGGAAATCCAACAGGGATAGTAGCTGCCTTTTCCAGGGCAAAAAAAATAAGTTAGGCTATCTAAGATTTGCTTTATTTTCCAGCTTTTTGGAGTTAAAACAAGGAGGGACTTGTGATTGGTTTTCTACAGGGAAGAGAGATACCAAGCCATGCACTTCCCCTACTAACTATTGAACACAGAAGCCAAGGTGACCTAGAACAATTATTTCACTTATTTATAGTTTAAGAAGGACCTTGTGTGCGGTTCAAAACTCCCGGTGCTTAGAGATGCGGTTCACTACAACAGTGGTAAGAAAAGCAAGAAAACAGGTATCAAGAGATGGAAGTGAAAGAAGAACTGTAGATCGACTAGTGGTTTGGGTCTTGCCTTTTAGGATTCAGATTCCTATTGAATTGACTTTGCCTTTGCCGAGGATCAGAAACCGAGCCCTTTGATTTGATCTAGTGAGTGATGTTACAAGCAGAAACCTCGACAAGTTGAATCCGGTACCAAAACAAGGATGGCATTGTTGAATATATTCTTCTTTCCTGTGCTTTGCCTTTCCCGTTTTCCGTACCTTTCGTAGTAGTTACTCTCCACTAGAAACATGATTCATGAATTCAAAGGTATCGCTAATTCCATTTCTGTGGAAATATAGGGATGAAAGTTTCGCTTCTACTGATTTCAATTGCACATCTAATGAAAACATATGCACATGAATGTTCAAAAGCAAGGCTATCCCCTTTGCCATTACCGAACCAGGGTTAAGTGAGGCTATTCAAACTTCACGGCCTTCACTATTAGATGTATATGAGTAAAATCAGACATCAGTATCACAACCTAGCGTTATTCAAATCTTTCATTGATCCAAGCGATTTTGGGAAGGACCCAACATTCTCACACAGAAGGCCAGGCCTTGAGTTTCTAGCCGACTCATATAAGTCAGGGTGTCAATTTTTTTAGGTGACGTATCTTTCTCTCTGATGTTCTCCGTGGTCTCAAAGGATGATCAGTCAAATAGCAACATTGGTAAATAAAAAGAAGAAGTTTACACGTCGGGTGCATACTTCAGTGCTACTAATTAGCGACTTTTTTGCCCTTTACCTACACCATGTAGATCGGAGGATTACACAGAATCCCATTGGTGTGTTTCAGACAGCTAGGTTATTCAAGAAACTTGGAATACCAACTCCAATGGTTGGCTTGCTGAATCAGCATATGGATTACTTCATTGAATTTCTCGGCCCGAGCTCTTGTGATTGGTCCACTTGGCAGGTGGAGTGGATCATTAGCAGGTTCATGTGTTCCTTGTTTACGCAGCTCTTCTGTTGGATCACGTAGCCCCTCCGTTGGATTATGTTGCTCTGCCCTTGGATTACTTGAGTCATTTCTAGGCTTACTTAGCTGCTCCGCAACATGTTGGTTACTTGATCCTTCGCTTTGTTTACTTAGGAGCCCAATACTTATTGGTTGGGAAAATTACCTTCAAAGGAAAATGATCCTCCCACTGGACCGAAAAACCCATATATTCCCATGGGAATGGGTGGTACTGAACAAGCAGGCAGACCCAACGTAGTTTATCTTTACTGCAATCCTGGTTAGGTAAAAGGAATTCCGCAGCAGCGGGTACATGATTAGTTACAACCAACGGAAAGACTTATTGAAATAATAGGGAATTTCCTCATCCAGTCTACTCCTAGGACTACATCATATGCTCCCAATGAGGGAGTCCTGGATTAGGGGATCCTCGGACAACCAGACTATATACTTTGGCCGGACTGTTGGACTTTGAAGATACAAGATTGAAGACTTCGTCCCGTGTCCGGATGGGAATCTCCTTTGCGTGGAAGGCAAGCTTGGCGATTCGGATATGTAGATCTCCTCCCTTGTAACCGACTCTGTGTAACCCTAGCCCCTCCGGTGTCTATATAAACCGGAGGGTTTTAGTCCATAGGACAACAACAATCATACCATAGGCTAGCTTCTAGGGTTTAGCCTCTTTGATCTCGTGGTAGATCAACTCTTGTAATACTCATATCATCAAGATCAATCAAGCAGGAAGTAGGGTATTACCTCCATCGAGAGGGCCCGAACCTGGGTAAACATTGTGTCCCCTGCCTCCTGTTACCATCCGCCTTAGACGCACAGTTTGGGACCCCCTACCCGAGATCCGCCGGTTTTGACACCGACATTGGTGCTTTCATTGAGAGTTCCACCGTGCCGTCACGGTAAGGCCTGATGGCTCGCCTTGTTGTCAGGGACAACGTTACCTATGGGGGAGCCCTGGCTGTAGGCCAAACTCTCCGATTAGGCGGCTTCATCGTGCTGCCCCATCGGCCGTCGCGCCGACGATGACTTCTCGGGTCATCAAAAACCGCCTCCACGTCGGCTCGGGATTCACCGAGCAGATGGACCCAATGGAGCTCTCTTCTTTGAACAAGCTCTTGGATCGCATCGCTGGGATTCGCTACAGACTATGATCGGATCGGGCTTAAACCCGACTGAAGGGAGATTAACTCTCCGCCGGTTACCCATCAGATAGTGGTGGTGGAGGAGCGATGCAGCGATTCTTCCTCTATTTTGAGAACAAACTATGTCCGGATTCCCGAGCTCTCCGAGCCGGATACCCGTCTACGGGAGGACATGGCCCAAGCTTCGAACCTGGAATTGAACAGCGGGCTAGTACCGTTGGGCAACGTCCTAGAGACCGAACTACCAAGCTCGGAAACTCCTTTGGGTCTCAGACCGGGCCAGGGTTTGGACTTAAATCTACCCACCCGCCCTCACATAAGTGATCTTTTCCATATTAGACAAGGGCCCCAAGAGACAGTACATCACTATTGGGCCAGATTCCTCCTTGCAATAAGCAAGGCGAAGGACTATCGCGAGGAAGACGCAATTTCATTCTTTTGCAAAAATTGCACGGACAAGGGAATCCTCAACGCCATAAGTCGCCATGATATAACACACTTCGCTGACTTGGCGTCCATAGTACGGAAGTACTATGCGATGGAAAGCACTTGGAAATCCCAAACACAATTCTGGGATCCTCCGGCTCTAACTAAACCCTCTGTCCAAACTAAAAGGGTGTACTCTCGTAAGTCACCCAATCCAATTACAAAGAAGCGACAACCCACTATAGGGCGTGGAACCGTATTGGAGGGATGGCTCAATGAGCCATGCAAAATTCATAGTACATCGGATACCATGCCAACACACAGCCTTATAGCATGTTGGATACTCCGGCAGGTGGCTAGGAGAGGCGAGGACCTCCCCGTCAATAATACCGCAGAGCACCCTCCCGTGGAAAATAACAATACAGTACTGACAGTCTTCAAGACTTTCGCCTCAAACAATAGGCGCAAGCGGGCACTTCGCAGCCTCGCCGAAGTTTGCCACGTTGCAACGATAAATCCATGGAACGACACGGCCATAACCTTCAACGCCAGTGACGAACCTCAATTCCGCACATCCCGAGCTCCAGCCGCTTTGGTCCTTAGTCCAATTGTGGATGGCTTCCGGCTTACTAAAGTACTCATGGACGGTGGCAGCGGATTAAACCTCATCTATGAGGAGACTCTTCAAAAAATGGAAATAGACAAGAGCCGCATTGAGCACAGCAGCACGACCTTTAGAGGAATCATCCCTAGTCAGGAGGCACGATGTGCGGGAAAAATCACACTAGATGTGGTATTCGGCACGCCGGAGAATTACAGGTCCGAAGAAATCACATTCCAAGTGGCCCCGTTTAGTAGCGGATACCACGCCCTTTTAGGGCGAGAGGCATTCACGATCTTCCAAGCTATACCCCATTACGGGTACATGAAGCTCAAGATGCCCGGGCCCAATGGAATTATCACTCTAGCTAGTGATCCGGACATAGCACTCCGCGCCGAAAACAAAACCGCCACACTGGCTCTCGAAGTGTTATCCGAAGCCCTCACGGCCGAAGAACTAACTGCGTTGCGCTCTACAGTGGACATGGACGACGTGATACTCGACAAAAGACCCAAGTCCACCTCTTTTAAACCAACAGACGAAATAGTCAAATTCCAGGTCCACCCAACAGACCCTTCAAAAACAGCATCCATCAGGGCACGGCTGAACCCCACAACAGACGCCGCACTGCGGGAGTTCTTACGCGAGAATTGGGACATCTTTGCCTGGCATCCTTCAGATATGCCAGGCATCCCACGCAGGCTGGCCGAACATAGCCTAAACATTCTAAAGGGATACAAGCTAGTCAAGC